GAAAATGTCAAAAAATTATCATTCTATATCTATATAATTAAGTTAAGAGGAAATAAATCAAGGGAACTTTAAAAATTAAATGTAATAAAAAAAAAAACTGTAGTTTCGTGGGAGCCGATTCTAACGCCCTCACAAGTGACCAGCTTATGACATTCTCGGACATGTTGAATTATGACCAGCAGAGTTTGTTATTCTTAAACTGAATGAAGTATATTATAGATACTGTAGTAATAGCATATAAGCTGTGAAAATTCCCGGTAATTTAATATATTGAATGCATGAAGATACTATAATAACTACTATCTTATTAGCACCCATTACAACCGGCTTTTGGGATGAGCGAGAATAAAAGCAAAAAAACAAACCCTCTATTAAGAGCCTAAACATACTAAATTTGTGTCTAAATCAGATATTGACTGACAGTTAATCAGTCAACAACGGTAATTAGATATAAAAAAAACTTACTGGTAAGTTCCATCTGGATTTTTGGTTAGGAGCAACTGAGTTAATTTTTCAGAATTTACAGGCTTTTGAATAGTTTCGGTTGCTGGTATTTTGATATTTAATTGTTGTACAGTTGATGAAGTAACAGGATCTTTCAATTGTGAATTAATGCGAGATTGAAACGTAGCATTATCGATTAATAATTCCAAGTCTTTGTTCGAATTCCCGGTAATAGCATGAATAACGGGTTGAAAGTATTCCAGGCTGCTTATTGTTAATACAAAAAAAAATGACATGCGATCAATGATTCCGGGGTCGACATCCCGACTATCTTCTATTAGACTTATTACATCAATGCAGTCAGGTCGAAAATTTTTTGTTCCAAACAAACGATAAACTTGTTCATTTTGATATTGACTGTCTTTCAAAGTAGTCCATAATAAATATACCAAATGTTTGAAGATGCTGCCTTTTTTAAATTTTGGTGTCTCCAAAACTCGAAGTGCAGACAATATACTCAGAAAGAACAATTTAAATGCTGAATCAAATTCCGATTCTGCAAAATCTGATACAACGTCTGAAAAATAGCCTTTTAACTTTTTTTGTAGAACTTTATTATGTCTTTCGTGTAATCGGTTGGCATCACATCTAGCTTTAAGTTTTTCTGCTTCAGTTTTTTTCTTAAGAGACTCATCCATTCGTGATTTGTGTTGTTTGTTAGATATTGAAAGTATGTTGATTATATTTGCAATAATCACAATAGTATCTTGTACGGATTTACTAAAATACTTTTGATATACATTTTCAAATTTGCTCAGCTGCTCTTTTTTATTGTCTTTGTCATTAAAAGAGCATTCAACTCCATTTGAATTAGGTTTACTTGTTGAGGGTTTATCAACTGCCAAATCGTTCGTGCCATTTGTAACCTGATTGAGTTTTTTTTCTGTATGGTAAATTTTCAACCACTTTTTATAATTTTCATGATTCATCAATTTCCTATAATCAGCAACCCAAATCAATGGTTTTACTTTTTTGGCTGATGAACTTACAGGTGMGGTAGATTTGGTAGATTCATTGCAATCAGTTTCTATAATAGGTACAGCTCTTGTTGCAGCTATGCGTACAGTACTAGGTTCAGTAATAGGTACAATACTAGGTACATAACTAGTTACAGTAGAAGATACAGTTCTGGGAACAGTACTGGGTAAACTACTGGATACAGAACTAAGTACATTACTGGTTACAGTGCAGGATACAGTTCTGGGCACAGACCTAAGTACATTACTGGTTACAGTACAGGATACAGTTCTGGGCACAGCACTAATTATATTACTAGTTACAGTTCTGGGCACAGTTCTGGATACAGAACTAAGTACATTACTAGTTACAATGCAAGATACAGTTCTGGGCACAGTTCTGGGCACAGTTCTGGGCACAGTTCTGGATACAGAACTAAGTACATTACTGGTTACAGTACAGGATACAGTTCTGGGCACAGAACTAAGTACATTACTGGTTACAGTACAGGATACAGTTCTGGGCACAGCACTAAGTACATTACTGGTTCCAGTACAGGATACAGTTCTGGGCACAGACCTAAGTACATTACTGGTTACAGTACAGGATACAGTTCTGGGCACAGCACTAAGTACATTACTGGTTACAGTACAGGATATAGTTCTGGGCACAGCACTAATTACATTACTAGTTACAGTTCTGGGCATAGTTCTGGATGCAATTCTGGGCGAAGTTCTGGATGCAATTCTGGATGAAGTTCTGGATGCAATTCTGGATGCAATTCTGGATGAAGTTCTGGATGCAATTCTGGGTGAAGTTCTGGATATAGTTCTATGCATTGTTCTAGGCACAGTACTGTATTCAGTACTATATTCAGTGCTGGTTGAAGCGATAGGTTCCTGTTTCACTTCTAATTTCGGTATTAAAGAAGACTTGAACTGTGATCTAAAGTTATGCGTTTCATCCTCTCTTRATAATACCAACTTCAAAAAATCTTTTCTATTTGTATTCAACTTTTGTATTTTTTTAGCAGGCTCATCGTCTATAGATGTTTTATCACCTTTAGACGACTTAGCATCTTCAGAATTGTTATCATATTTTGGCCTTTTATCACTTTTAGACGTTTCATCGTCTTTAAATTTAGTCTCATCTTTTGATATATTACCATCTCCATTATGTGTATCATTCTTTTTTTGAATTAAGTTCCTAAAATTAGTAAAATCATAAAATTAAATAAGTAATTTGAGATGAGTCATTATTATTTAGATTTATTCATATCACTCCGGTATTAAAAATGTATTATTTGTATTTAATTCTAAATTCTAAAAGGGTTACATACAATAATTTATTTTAACAATAATTACATTAAATTCACCAGTGATTTTACGAATTGTTCAATAACAGAATCAAAACAAATKCTTAATATATTAGTTGAAAGGCTATAATGTGATTTGCGCTAAAGCCGTTCTATTATTCAAAATACAGATTAATCAAAATATTAACTGTTTATCTAGATGTTAAGCAACCATCATAAAAATACTATTATTGCTTCTTAAATTATGAAACAACATTTTCATAACTAACTGTTGAAGTGAATATTTTTTTTAATATTATTATTCGTCATAACTTTATCTAAATTGTATATTTCAATAACTTTTTCAAAAAGTTCTGTTTGAAACAATAGAATCATACTACGATACGTTAAATTTAAAAATGTTCAGATTCTGGTTGGATCGTGCTCAAATTGCAGTTTCCTTGTTATCACTAGTACCTTATAAATAAATATTAAAATAAACTTACAACTTGTAATTTTCTATGTCTTCTGTCGTAAATTTGTTCAACGAAACTACACAAGTTGTGGCGCATAAATGCTTAAACATGGCATCTATTACATTTTTTTTATACTTATGCTTTCTGGATCTGAAAAATAAACATTTATCAACATGAAATTATATTAGAAATACTATGTTCACATTCAAAGTACTCATATATTTTTAAATAATAATTTTTATTAAAAATAGTTTTCTGCTATTTAACAACTAATACTGTAATACGGTGCAAACCTATAAAAAAATAAAATTTGTTTCAATATTGAAAATGAAAAATACATGGTTGAAGTTTTAATTTAAAATATTTATTTTGAATACTTTATAGTAATTATACGTGAATCAATTGTCCACCAGAGTTGGTACAGCAAATAGGTTACGATCAATGAGAAAATGAATAAATAATTTTAAAGTTTTCTACGTTTTATATATGGCCAAAATACGACGAC